ATCTACTTTGCCATAACTCAGGCTCAATAGAGCCAAGCTCTTCATGAGTTGACAAATCCCCCTGTTTTAGGGATATAATTCAACATCATACTGAGATCCTTCCATCATATTTCTTCAAACACATTTCTTCCCAAGAATTACTAGAATATATCTAGTAATTTTAAGCTCAAACAAGGCTATAACAGAATAAAACCATATTATAAGGGTTAATGAATCTTCCAATTTCTTACACGCCAACATAAGGAATCTACTGTTCATTGCTTTTTAAACAATCCTTGAGGTGTCCAAGCCTTGTGTTTCAGAATGTCAGGAGATGGAGTGAAATTAAAACTTTGTCCATGGCTATGTTTGTGATTTCCTTCTAACACAGGAATACCATCACTTGAGAAATATCACTAGAAATACAATCTGGTCCTGAAACCATTTAAAGGAAATAGTGTGATTGTTTCTGGTTATCCCTGCAATGCCTGAATTAGTGATGACCAAAGAGAAAACCATAGCTATTGCCTATTCAATGATGCTTGGGCTAAATTAGGAATTTACTGCTAAGTTATTTATGAGAAAGAGAGATTCTATTATTAGAACTTGAACATAGCATAAAGATTCAGCACTTAAAACATGCTCTGTATTTTATATCTACAGAACAATGTTGAAGATGTCTTCTAAAATACTACTAATGGGAGGGATGAAAGGAGGGAGAAGGACACACATTTTCTCAGGGTGGGGGAGAAAGAGGTCAAGAGGACATAAACTTTTCTCACTGAATTGCAACCAATATCAGCTTTGTGAAATAAAGGTAGAAAGCTTTGAAATGCTAGTTGTGAGTGGACAGCAATTTGAATGTTGATGGTAGGACTGGGCCCTCATATAGACATTGCAGAATATTCCTTGTCTGCTTCTTTCTCCTCCTACCTTAGAGCAGGTGTTCTGAGAATACATATTCACAGCCCAAATTTATTCAGATAGTTTAACCCATCCTGATTGGGGGATTGTTAAATGCATGTTGATCAGGTCCCCCCTTGTTTCAGGAAGCTGAAATCATACATAGGTCATATAAGGAAAAAATCCTGAAGGAATACAGTATACCTTCCATGCAGGTTTTTTTAATTGGATGGACAAGGTTGGAAATTGAAGCCAAGTAATTTCTTAGAAGTTTTCTGCCTACCTCCTTTGTAAAAGAGATTATGAATGTTAATAAAATCAAACAGAAGAGCATGTTAAAATGAAAGTCCTATGTTTAAGAGGATGCAGATCAGTCCTGTGAAGAAGGAAAGTACTTTCAGAAAGATTTGAGATTTAAATCCCTGAAATTTAAATGCTGAATATAAGTTTTGGGGGAGGGAAAGATCTCCCGATATTTATCTATCAGCATCATTATGGATAGAATTAAGGAGAATGCCAATTTGCTTTAATAGCCAAACAATAGTCTATATCTGAAAAGTTCTAAATCATGATTCAATATTTAATGTCAAGACCCAAAGATGTGAAGTTTTGAATCAAAGCAAAGGACCTTCCTTCCTTTCTGATTCCTTATAAATGATTTAATTTGTATACTGTCTTGGGTGAAAATATTCAAATTTTTGTTTGTTGACATCAACAATTTGACTTTGTTTTTGCCTGAGTCAAGCTATTTGGGCTTCTGTTTGTGTGTACATAGCCTTTCAGCTCTGCAATGCAAATGTTTTTCAAAATGTCAAGGTTTCTCATGGATTAGAAACTCCATTTGTCAATGGGACGTCTATGGGACGTCAGTGTTGGCAGTATATAATTGACTCCAGCTGCAAGTTCATAATGTCAGACAATTCCCAGACTTCACTGTTTTGTTTTGGGTTTTTTTGCTGCTAAAGAAAAAATAGCAGAACACTGCTCTAAGTGTTGACCATAGCTAAATGCCATTAAAACCAAATAGAACTTTTAAAATCACAACCCTACATTCCCTTACCTGGAAGTAAACTTCATTCAGCTCAGTAGGGTTTATTTCTGACAAAATATGACTTGAATTACAGTTAGTACTCTTGACTTCCCTGGGAATGCACAGTTCCTGAGCTCCACCATACCAACATCCATTGGATTTGCAACAGATACTCAAGACACTGTAAAGCCAATCTATCTTGTCGGGGACTTCCAACTGAAGCTTTTTTCCTTTCAATATGCATGAAAAGCTAATAGACTTCTTGTGCTGCTGTCATCATAGAAATAACAAAAAACTACA